GGCTCAGTGGGTAAAGATGCTTGCCACCGACACTGATAACCTGAGTTCAATCCCCAGGACCCACATGGTGGGAAAGAAATAACTGACTCCACACACCAAGTTACCAATGCTGCTGGCCTCCACACACACCTGCACCCATTACACCCACCCTCCCACTGTTATAAATAAATCCTCACAAAAAGAACCAAAACCAAACCCTACAAACAAACCAGAGGCTGGAGAGATGGCTCCATACTTAAGAGTACATACTGCTCTTGAAGAAGACTGAGTCCCATTTCCAGCATCCATATCAGATGGCTCACAATCACCTCGAACTCCAGCTCTGAGGCCCACTGCCCTCTTCTGGTTTCCTTGTGTATGTAACCACATACATACATATGCACAGAGAACAACCCAAAGGGAGATCTGTGGCTAGGGAGCGGGTGGCCACCAGTGTCCTGTATCTTTCCTGACTTCTTCCATTTAGTGAGGTAAACACACAGCTATGCAGAAAATACTCCTCTCTCTCTCTCTCTCTCTCTCTCTCTCTCTCTCTCTCTCTCTCTCTGGCAATTAGGTGTGGTAAGTGGTGTGGTATCAGAAGCATGGTTTGGGAGTACTCAAAAATGTCCCCATACAGAAACAGGCACAGTCTTTTGCCTCTCCCTCCTCTTGACTAAAAGAAATGTGAGTGCGGAGGCCAGAGCTCAGGCAGCCAGTCTGATCACCAAGGCAATTTAACTTAAGCATGGCAAAACAAGACATGAGTTTTGGCAATTCCACAGTCTACCCCTGAGGGCAATGAAATATATCTATTCACAACTACTGAAATGTTCCAGCACAAACACAACCTACAGGAGCAGAGCCACACAAAAACGAGTCTCCTTCCCAAGTCATTTTCTTACACATCAGTAATAGAGTTCGGGGTCGAAGGAATGCTGACCTTGAGTGTGGTCAGAGCGGCAGGGGCAGGCTCCCCCAGGCCCACTAGGTTTCCATGGACTACCTTTTGCTGGTCAGCCCTCCCCACTCTGAACCTCACAGGTCTCTCCAGTGTCTAATCCTCAAGATGTTCTGGAACTATGGCCATGTGACCTACTCTCCACCACTAGTGTCTCTTTACAGTGGAATGTGTTGTGGGAACAGCCCTGACTGTATGGACGGCCCTGAGTCCTCCTCTGTCCACAGGACTGTATGAACGACCCCGAGTCCTCCCTGTCCACAGGACTGTATGGACGGCCTAAGTCCTCCCCCGTCCACAGGACTGTATGGACAGCCCTGAGTCCTCCCCCGTCCACAGACTGTATGGACGGTCCTGAGTCCTCCCCTGTCCACAGGACTGTATGGACGACCTGAGTCCTCCCAGGTCCACAAGACTGTATGGACGACCTGAGTCCTCCCAGGTCCACAGGACTGTATGGACGGCCTGAGTCCTCCCTCGTCCACAGGA